ATAAAACTATTGACTCTATAGAGAAGTTGACAAATTAATTAACTAAATTAGTTTGTAATTGTTTTGGAGTAGGCCATCAGTTTATTTTCTAAAATGTGGCTGACTGTGAAACAATCCATTTAATTTAGCACAAAAAGACCACTTGTGACATTATAAAATGTGATAAGTGTGATACTGTGCTTATTTGATGAATTAATGAATTTACTAATAAGTGATAAAACTCAAAGTATTCAACCACACATTTATATAAATTTTTAATTTTTAATTAAATATAAAACCATTAACATAATAATAGTATTGTTTAACTTCAATGGAACCCAAAAGAAACATGTAAAATAATAACTTGAGTACGCCTTGAAATTAAATATTTTTATTTAGCACACTTACGGTAACATTTCATTGAATTACTACTATGATTGTTGAACATTTAAATGTTCAATTTTTAAACTAGTATTATATAGCTTCTTCTTAAACACAAGTTAGTAAATAAAGCAATATATATACTTTTAAGTATAGTAAAATAATTATATTTAATAATTGAAATCCCTAAAATTTTAACATACCTTAAAAAGTATTTTTAGGAGAATTCAGAACTGTAAGGAAAGTTTGTCCCCAATAAAAGCATAAGCAAAATTGGGAAAGATCTAACCATTTTTTATGTAGCATAATAAATAATTAAGTTATTAACTACAATTAAATAACTAAATAATATTTATATGCAAATTTATATAAAAAAAATATTATTCAAGAGACAACATACTTGATCTTTGCTGTAAACAATCAATGGACCTCTGCGTTGAACATGACGACGATTTCGCATTTTTCCTTTTCCAGCACGTAAACGGCGAGATTTTATGACCTAAAGTAAAAACTTGATAAATTATAAAAATATATGTATATTTAAATTTTATATTTATATATGAAATAATAAGAATTAAAAATAATTTAACCTTTTGGACATCTTTCCAGGCTTTGATACGATGTAAGAAAATGGTGGCTTGTTTAGTTTTGGTGTATTCTTGGATTTTATCAGAAACAACCAATGGGAATTCAGGTACCTCCTGAACCAAATGACCTAAAATATAATGTAAAAGTTATTTTGAACAATGTTCAACATTAATCATACTTAATATTATAAATTTAATATATTAGAACTTGAATAATGAAGTATTTTATGTTTTAAGTATAAAATTAAGAGGTAAATGTTTAAGTACAATTTTACTATTAAAATTAAAGTTATTAGACAAATTAATCACCATACAGACTGCCACACACTAAAGTAAAATATTAACCCATATAAAAAAATGTCTCCCATTATTACAGTTTTTGGACAGTTAAACCACCAATAAAAAAATGGAAAAATGTTTGATACTCATGCTATAACAAAAAAAACCAAGGCAACGCCTAGAAAGCACAAATTTAATATATGCACCAAACGATCAAATGGTTTAGTACAAATACAATTGTATTTGACAAGGCCAAGTGCAATTAAACTAGATATTTTATTTCAATTAGATAAAAAATATATTAAAAAAAAATGTTGAATAATTAATCTGTTAACATCAGAAAATAGTTTGCTGTGAAGTAAAAAACAACTAAAATACAGTAAAGTTTAAAGTAAAAGAATAAAGATGTATATAATATACAAGGGCATACCAAAAACAAAATCACATCAACGAAACGCAAATTTCTACAATGATGGCCGTTGTCATATTAAATGTTGAGAAGTTTATCTACACCCCTACCAGCAAAAATGTGGTACTACTAATACTGTCCCATACAACATCAGTTCGGTTTCTTTTTGGTATGCCCTCGTACAATATGCAATTACGGTATTTAAATTAACTGCAATATATTCTTAAAATACAATATTAAAAAATATAATTTAAAAAGGGTTTATTCAACTAAAAAAATTAGCAATATTCAGGTAGAAAACATGTTTGATACTCTTGCCGCCACAGCTTTTATGAAAATAAAGCGAGGCAACGCCTAGAAAGCACAAATTCAATATATGCACTAAACGATCAAATGGTTTAGTACAAATACATTTGTATTTGACAAGTCCATGTGCAGCATTGTTAAGATTAATAATATATATTCATTTAAGTAGTAACACCATAATATATAATATAATTAAGTTAACAAAATATAGAAAAAAATATTAGTTTATCAGGTCCTAATAACAGAAACATCACCAAAATCATAACTCAACGTTCTGAATAGAGGTACAATAGATATTCAACATGAAAATTATTTTTAAATGATTTATTTATGTTTAAAAAATCAAATTAAGCTATAAATAAAATAATCAGACTTTGTCAACGTGTAAGTAATCACAGGCTATCATAACCCAGTGCTCTAATGCATTGTCATCATTAAATGAAATACAATTTGATTTTTTTTTTATATAATTTTAATTTGGTATATAATTAAATTTATACTTTAAAATAAAATTTAACTATAAATAATGTTATCAGACTTTGTCAACGTGTTAAGTAATCACAGACTATCATAACCCAGTGCTCTAATGCATTGTCATCATTTAATGAAATACAATTTGAATTTTTTTTTTTATAATTTTAAATTGGTATATAATTAAATTTATACTTTAAAATAAAATTTAACTATAAATAATGTTATCAGACTTTTTCAATGCATTAAATAATCACAGACTATCATAACCCAGTGCTCTAATATTGTCATAATTTAGTTAAGTATAAAAAATTTGGATATTTATCTGATAACACAAAGCATACACTTGGAAAAAAAAGAATAAATATATTTACTGTTAATATAAATTATACAGAAGTATGAAGTACAGATATAATATTAGATAACTTTTATTTCATTATTATAGATAATAAATAATTAATTCTATATTATTTTATATTAAATTCAACTTCATTGGAACTTCAGAAACAATTACGTAATAATTACGAATATGCTGATTAAGTTAATTTAATTTAGTACAAAAAAAAAAAAAAAGCTGAAAATACAAAGTTTATATCTGGACATTTTAGGTGCATAGCATTAAAAAAATTTAAGATGGCAACAGTATAAAATTAAATTACCTTTAGACATAACAAGTGCAGGTACACCAGAAGCAGCAATAGCAGATACTGTAGCATAACGCTTTTGGGTAACATTAATCTTCCTATGCCAACGGCGCCAAACACGCGTAGGAGCAAACATTCGTCCACCACGGCACATGTTACCAAAAGCTCCTTGACCACTACGATGTGTACCACCACCACGAACACGAGGAATACGAGCAACAGCACGTCCAGTACCCCATGATTCAGCACTAGTTTGATGACCTAAAAATATTAAATATAAGTTATAAACAATCAAAAAAAATTGAAAGAAAAAAACCAATAACTAGTAATAAAGTTTACCAGCTAATTTGCTAACTGCATAAGGTTGTCTGCTGTTTTTAGAGATATTATCGTGGACGAAGTTAACAACATCAGGTCTAATAGGTGCTTTGAATACTGTAGCAAGAGCAACAGTATCTCCGGTTTCTTCATTTTTTTCACTGTATACAGAAACTAACGGTCGAGCTGTAGATAAAGCCTAAAAACATAATGCATTATTATTGAAAAATCTTTATTAAGTATTAGGTTTCATAATTTGACTTCAGACAATATTAAAGTGATTAAAATCAATATATCTTCATGTATCAAATTGAGTTCCCGATTAAGGAAGACTAACGGTAATGAAAACAGCAATAATCGAAAGTGAGGTTAGGTCTACAAATATTGTGCTGAACACATTAATTATAAGCCAAATAAGAAATTCATATTTAATAAATATTTGAACAGTCAAGCATCGACGTTAATTAATACAATATTACCGACATTTACGGAAAAACGATAAGTATTAAATTAATATTAAGTCCACATGGCCAACATGGTTAGAAGTCGTCTACGTAAGCCGCAAACAAAACTTAAAAACTCCATTTAAATTTGAAAAACAATTTTTAGTAAACATAATTATAAAATTAAGGTGTAATTAAGAACTTACCATAGCGTTGTCCCTTAAAACTAAATTATTAAAAACTTATTAAAAAATTGACCATCCAGGCTATAACCGAGATCCAACGATAGAGAAAGATGAACATGCAATACTTTTACCACAATATGAGTACGCCACCACTATCGATGGGTGGGAGAGAAGGGACACGCACCGCTCCAGGGAAGTAATAAATATTGTCTTGGAACAAACAACTTATTTAATATTTATATTTTTTTTTTTTTATAATAAATAATTTACGCGCCAAATATAAATTTAAGTATATCAATAGGAACGAAAATAACTTACACAATATCACTTATATATCACAGTTTAATAATTAAATGTAAAATAATAAATAATTTATACTGATGTATATTGTGATTAGTTGTTATTTAAGATTTTAAGATATTATTATTATTATTTATTTATTTATTTTTTTTAATCGAAAAAGACACAATTACATACATTATTATTGAGTAACATTTTCGATTATCTTTCTCCTTTAAGCAAAGCTTGTGTTAGAGAAAGCGAGTTATATATATGATACAATTATTATAATTATAGAATTTACAAGATACAGAGTAAAAGTTCTAAGTACATATTAAGTTAAATATACAAATAGTTTATAAATATTATCAAGAAAATGTATATGATAAAGAAAGAAATATAAAATAAAGATATTAGTCTAAGATACACAAATAAAACTTCATAGATTAATATTTATACAGCTTAGAATTAAAATAAAATTACAACAACTCATTATTTAATTCAAGAAATAAATATTTATGTACCAAGCCTTTAATTACTTTAATTCTTAAATAATACTTTAATAATAGTAATACTTTAATTTAATTTCCTCAATTCTCTTTTATTGCTTAACTCTTTATGATAATTATCTAAGTTAAATTTCTTAACTAAGTACATAATATAAATTTTTTTTATATAAAAACCTTATTGGCACCAAGTTCTTTATAGTTGGCTTTCGTAGATTCTTCTAGAGTTAATTTATTTAGGCAAATTCTGACCATATTATTTTGATTAACTACTAGTGCATTTAATATGTTATCTCGAAGGCCACCCCATACCAATAGACCATACTGGAAATTTGATTGAAATAGTGTAAAATATACTATTTTCATTGTTTGTTTAGGTACCATGTTTTTGAGCTTGATCAATTTAAATGTAATAAAACGTAGCTTTCCTAATAAATTGTTAATATGAAAATTCCATTTTAAGTTGTTATCAAAGATAACACCCAAATATCGAATTTTTCCAACTATTTTAATTATTTTGCAGTTTTCCCAATTACATATTTTATTATTGACGCAACCATGTACTGCTATAGTATTGAATTTACAATCTGTTTTATTAATTGAAAATGGCATAAACACAGTTTATCAATATTTAGAGATAGATTTCTATTGTTTAAAATGTTTATTATCTGATTGAAACCTCTGCAAGCTTTCTCATATACCCCATCTCATGATTTGTGTGAGAATAGGAAACAAGTGTCATCAGCATAAGTAATTATCGACCCATCAAAATTAATATTACAAATTTCGTTAATATATAGGTATTATAATTAGAATGGGTCCAAGAACACTACCTTGAGGTACTCCATTTTTAATACCATACATGCTACTATTTACTTCATTAATTTTAACTGACTGTTTTCTATTATGCAAATAACTTTTAAACCAGTTTAGGCTCGAATTATTAATTCCAAAGCTAGTTAGTATGTTTAATAAAATTTGATCATTCACTGTATCAAAATTCTTGGCTATGTCTAAAAATATTGCTAATTATTTATTGGTATTATCTAGATTACTGTATAGAAATTGAGTGACTTTATAAAAAGTACTGAGAATGCTCAGTACTTAATCCCGGACTAAAGCCATACTGGTGTTTTGATAATAAGTTATTTTTTTCTAAGAACTCTATCAGTCTGGCTTTGATAATTTTTTCAAATATCTTAGAAAAATTGCTCAACATGGATATTGGCCTATAGTTGCTCATAATCAATTTATCACCACTTTTAAACAAAAGTTTAACTTCAGCTACTTTTAAGGTATCAGGAAAAATACTTTGTTCTATACTTAAGTTATATATATGTTACGGTAAAAGATGAATATTGGTGAATGTCGTCATTCTCCGGTGAATGACGTCTTTTACCAAAATTATTCGATTATGTAGGTGATGTAAAAAACCAGATTTTAAATATAAATGTACATCATTCATCGGTCATTGATGTCATTTACCAAAACTGGTGGTAAATTATGATAAATCTCAAATAATACACTGATTTTTTTACTATAGGTACTATTTATAATAATGATTTATTGTTAAAATAAAAAAATAATAAAATAATAAAATACGTGCATATTACAAATTATTTATTTGTACAATTTTGGTTACTATGAAATTTTGAACTGCACAACATTTCCACTGCATTGCAAGCACATTTTTTAGTACCACAACCAGTTTTGCAGTTGCATCGATTAAATCCTTGATGACCAGCTATTCCATGTCCTGCTGCTTCTCTTAATGTTATTTCCCTGTCTTTAATTTTTTTCATGGCTTCATCTAGCTCTACATTTCTTTACATAAAGAAATTTGTGTTCGTGTATATTTGTGTTTCAACACCCCATATTCTGTCATTTCTGTCACAAATTTTTACAAATAATATTATAAAACACACATTCGTAGCAAATACAACTCGCTATAATATACCCGTCGATACTAACTAATAAACTAAAAGATTATCTCACATTATTATTCGGGTTATCGACGTTATTGCTAGTTGGGATTTTCGTTTATAAAAGTATTAAACATCATTATCCAATTAAACTGGTGATTGACGACAATAACCGGAGAATATCTGCATTTACAACGTTTACCAATTTTTAGGTAAATGATGTCATTTACCGGGGAATGACGTCTTTTACCACGTTTACATCATTCACCGTAACATATATAAACAAGAGGATCCACTACCATTTTATTAATACATTTTAATATTTTTACGGATACTTTATCTAAACCACTTCCTGTATTGTCTTTAGAGTTATTAATAATATCTAGTATGTCCGACGACTCGATTTTTTTTTAGAAACATATTAAAAAAAACGTTATTAGGAACATGACTATTCTCTGAATTGATCGGTTTTTTTATATTATTCTGAACGATATGATTCGGTCCAAATTGCATTGGCTAATATTGACGTAATTGATTTATAATGAATTTTACTAAACATTTTTCGATTATTAACAAAATTTGCATTACTTGAAATTGAAACACAAACCGTACAGTGATCTGTTATATCAGTGAGTATTACACCAGCATTAATTTTACTTGTGACGTTATCATTACCATTAATAAAAATGTGGTCTATACAAGAATGATTAACATCCTTTGGCAATCTGGTATCACAGATATCTATATTATATTATATCTATATTATAGTATAATATAGATATCTGTGTCTGCTATAAACTACTATAAAAGAGATAAATGCACTTTCAGATAACGTATCAAGATATTTATTATAATATTCATGTATACCGATTATATTGACATTCATATTATCAGTTATTACTGTTAATTCATTGTTAGTATTTAAACCATCTATTACTTATCCTAATGAGTTTATAAAGTTATCGCTATCGGTACCGGGAGACCTACAGACACATATTAAATTAATTGGCACTTTGGTATTAGATATATAGAGTTTTACTATATTAGAATCTACGAAATCATACTCAAAAAACTCTACATTTAAGTAAGTTTTGCAAATACCATAGCACCATAATTTTGATTCCTTTTTATAGAAGAAAATACAAGCTATAGCCATCTAAAGCATAATTACATGGTTGAACATTATGCCAGGTTTCCGTAAGTACAATTATATCAATGTATATATTTAGCATCATTTTCCAGAAACAATAGAAGTTCATCAAAGTGTGCGTGTACACTCCTAATATTACAACATATTATATTAAGATAATTATTACACACATTATTATTAATATACACAAATTCAGAAAAAGATTCATAGTAATTTGTTCTGTAATTCAAATATCCCTTACAGATACTTTCCATGAGAGTAAAAAATTAAAACTAATAGTAATATAAATACAAATAAAATATTAAGTTAACTTAGTTAGAGATAACTCATTGTCGACAACTGTAGTTTTTGTAAGCTCAGTTTTTTATAAATAGTTTATAGTCTCTGAACTAGACAAATTTATACCTTGAATCACGTGCAAATATTTTAGTTTTATAAAATAAATTTCTATTGAATTGCGTCAAATTATCATTAATATAAATAGCTTTATTTTTCCAACTTGCTTCCACAATATTACCAGTTGGTTTGATTTTCCTAGATGATTCAATCAGATCTTTTTGACTTGTTTCGATGTTAGTTCAGCTATGATTTTCTTCAATCTGGTATTGAATTTTGATTGGACATTAATTTGCAATTTTTTTAACTGTATTTTTATAATCCTCATTTTTTATTTCCGGTACGTTTACAATTTCAACGAAATTATCTAGTGACTTTTGTTCAAGTATATTCAATTTGTTCGATAGTATATTTAAATCGTTACGTAAATAATTATTTTGAACTTTTAAAATTCTGTTTTCTTCCCTCATGTCTTTCATAGAATTAAGAAAATCTTGTAGTTGCTCTTCAAACGAGTCAAACTTATCGCTCATATATTTAACAGAGTCCGTTAAATTAATGAATGATTCATTTGTTAACACACTTGCTTCATTTCCCTTCTTAACGTTCACAGTAGGTGATTTTGTTTTAACATCAGTTGAGAATTTGCACTTTGCACAGCCCCATTTTTGTCTAGTCGTTTTTGATATTTTCCGAAAAGTCGTTTCTCTTAACACCGCACATCCTAAATGAAAAAATGCATTGCATATAGAACACTTCAACTTATCTTCCTCGTAAATATCGTTGTTACATACATTGCATAACATTATACAGTAAATAATTGGATTACGCAATTATTAATTAAGATACGCGACACACAGTAACTATACACGCACGTCTATACAGAACGAAGGAACTGATAAAACAATTACGATTATTTATTATCATTATTACGGTTTGAAATATTAGAAACCCTTGTGTGATATTATATTATAATCTGACTATAAACATTTTTGTGCTAATTTTAAGTTATTTGAAACTCATTGTTAACTTTTGTTTATTTATTTAAAAGACAATGTTTAATAACAGTATTAACTATCATACTTTTTATTTATTTTTTTAAAAAATAAACTGTTCCTAGCTTTCGTTATCTACATTCTTAATATAATATACATTTTTTTTTTTGTTAATATTATAATAGTGTATCTAATTACAGTGACAATTATTTAGTTCATAAATACAAGCTTATAAAATATAAATGTTGTATTTATTGTAGATATTTACAGTTTTTTTTATCTATTATTGCTATTTGTTCCGTGGTTTGATTTTAATATCAAGTCGTGATAGCGCTCTCTTTCAAGTCTACGTTGTAGTGGTAGTACCAGTGCTGGATTAAACTTTTGTGGGACCCATAGAAAATGCTTTCGATGTTGAACACTAGTTATTGATCTGTATGGGTATGACGGGATGATAAGAGTATACCGAGCTCTTTGAGAAATTTATTACAATTTTCCATATTTTATACCTAAGCGATATTTCATTCAGATAACCTTTAAGGTGTTTATTATATTGTTTATTAGATTCAGTGGAGTCACACTAATCAGTTGCGTCGTAGGAAAAAAAGTATTATGTTAGTATAGGGAGACCGTGAGGATGTCCGAAATAAATAAATTAAATAGAATTAGACCAAATGTTAATCTTCCTGAGCTCTTAACATTGATATTAAAATAGATTTTTCATTGTTTATTTTACAGCGAAAAATTGGTTGATAAGAAATTATTTGATTACTAATATGAAATAAATATTTGGATATGTTTAATTGCTGAAGTTTATGTAATATTCTCCCTTACCATAATTTTTCAAATGCTTTGGAAATGTTTATAAAAACTGCACCCATATGACGAAGATTTTTGAATGTATTATTTACATGTCCTGTTGTGTAAAGTAATTGCGTTGTTGAATGATGTGATTCGAAATCAAATATAAATTTTATTACGACTTCCACGAAATCCAAGAACTATAAATTTGATTTAAGTCATTATTTAAATTATGTAACAACAATACTAAAAAAACTATCACTACTACACTTAGGGCCGGGTTTAAGGGGATGACTAAAAGGGCATTAGAACCCCCCCCCCCTTGGGACTAAGCTCACTATTTTACAAAGCTAAGTATTATGATATATTAATAATTATTATAAAATATCGCCAACTGTCATTGATGAATATAGTACCATTTTTTTTATAAATAAATAGCTCATTTTGGTTGTTAATTATGTGTTATATCTATATTCAGGAGTGTACCCAGGAATTTTTTATGGGGGAGGGGGTCCAAAATTTTTATTTCATCTATTCTCTAATTATAATTATAGTTTAACTCAATACCAACAAATTACTGTTAATATACTATAGTATGGTTTACAGTGGCGCATTTAAGGGGGGGGGCGAAAGGGGCAAATGCCTCGGATGGCAAATTTTTGGGAGCGGCAAAATATTCTAACTTTTATTATTGATAGAAAAAATATTATAACTTTTATTATTGATGTGTTTATGATTTTTTTTTAATTTTCACGCCTTTTTCAGTATTGTTTAGTATTTTAAAAAATATTGTTGAGCATCTAATAAGAAATTAAAATTATACATTTAAAAAGTTTACAAAAGGAGTAAAATTGTACCTAAAAGTGTTCAATGTATGTGAGCATTTATAAAAGAGAATAGTTTAGTTGAAGTATATCCTTATATTGATATTGCTCTAAGGATTCTACTATGTATGTAAACCTTCAAGTAATTGTTCAATGGAAAAATCATTTTCTACATTAAAAAGAGTCAAAACTTATTTAAGATAAACAACGAGAGAAAATCGTCTTAATTAATTAACAACCCTTAACATTGAAGCTGATTTAACGTAAACTATTAATTTTAATAATATTATTGAACATTATTTTTCTCAAAAGTCAAGAAAAAAATTATAAGCTATCGATTTTTTTATTATATATAATTAATAATAAATATAATATATTTTATCTAATAAAAAAAACCATGTATTGTTAATCATTGCGCATATAATAAGTATAAATTCCGTTTTTCATATTTAATATATATATATATATATATATATATATATGTATTAAGAAAGGAATATTCACTGAAAAAAAAAAAAAAATTAGATCAACGTTAGAATATGTATTACCAATGATTTTATAATATACAATATTTATATTATAAAATCAATGGTATTACTAAAAAGTTATCTAATACAATATCGCAAAACAACTGATTTATAATATGTTTCATAAAATTAATTTTTTTATTGCTTAACTTTGAATTTATTTATATATATATATATATATATATATATGTTTTTTTTGTAAGGGGGAAGGGCGGAAAAAATATTTTGCCCTGGGGCGCGTATGTATTAAATACGCCACTGATGGTTTATACATTATAGGTACATAATACGAAAACAGTTCCCGCGGCGCCGCTGGTTCAAACTCAAAAAAAAAAAAAAGTTATGCCTATTGTATAATTTATAAACTTTTCATATTGAAAATAGTGGTAAATTAAAATACGCTATATACTTCTATTATACTATTTACTATTAAATCATTGAGTATGTAGAAATTTCAATTTTCGGGGGGGGGGAGTCTGGACCCGAACCCTCCCCTGAGTACGCCCTGGCCTATATTTTTAAAATGGTTTCTGATTAAAATCGATACCAATAATATAACTATTTAAAATTTGTCACTATTGTGAAAAAATTACTTGCTTATGAGGAACTCAAAAACATATTCTGTAATTTAAAATTGTAAATAGATTTAAAAAACAACTAAATTCTTGAACCTCTATTAGCTCCTACCTTGGTTAGTGATAAAACCCATTCCTGACTACACTTGTCAGGTTATTCTTTAGACAACCTCAGAGTACGTAGTATAAGTTGTCGAAACATTTCGTTTTTTTTCATGTTCAAATAATATTTTTTGATCTCTTTTCGTCAAAAAAAATAGAATTTTTTTTCATCGTAAATTAAAAAAATAGTTATCGTAAGGACATGACATGTTCACTGAATGCTTTTATCACTGTTAGCTATAAAATAATGCCTAAGCGTTTAAATATTAAATTTTAACAAAACGATAAATATCATGAAAATCTGTTGCATTTTCGTAGTCATTCAATTTTCATTCTTATACAGATGGGCAGTTATATATAATATGGCTACTACTAGGCTTGAAAATTGGATATAATATTTTTTATAAGATTTTCTTTGAATCGATAATTAAATTGATATAGAAGTTTGAACAAAGGTGGTTTTTAGCGCGCAATTATACTTTTAATACCTATCTAAAAAAAAATGTTCACAACTAAGTACAAAATTTCAAAATTGTCATTTAACACAAAAGCATGCAATATTGAATAATTGAACACAGTAGACAAAAAATTAATTAGTAGAAAACTCATTACAACATTATGGCTTAAAACATATTGAAAGCAATACAATTTACATTTCACAAAAATTTACGCCAACTCTTACGACTCTGTTCAAATCATACACAGACAACTTATGCGTAATTATGGTTATCTTCGTATCAGAAATTGATAAGTGTTCACCAATGGGAATCATGGCCTTAGAAGATCTAATCTTCTAATATTCTGAAGCTGTGATGGGAACTATCTTCATGGACAAGATCTTGTATCCCGCACATAGACATAATATAATCATTATATTATGTCTATAACCCCGCATGATACTGGTGACGGTCACGATTAGAGTATCTTAAATTGTGGTGATGATTATAGAGAATAACCATGATCAAATAATAATGATAAAAGCAAGGTAATGAAACAAGTCACGGGTCGTCAACATTGGATTGTCAGTAAAAATTTTATCAGTATCGATTTTCGTTACTAACTTCTTTCTTAACAATAACGGATTACAGAATGCAGATTTCGAGTCTACATTTTATATTTATCATGCGAATACTTATGAATTACCATCTTAGTAAATTTTATATGATAAATTGATAACTAGCAAAAATTATTGGCTATTGCGACCATATATTTATATCACTACGGTTTATTTATCGCGTTAAAATCATTAAGTTTCCTGTCTTTATATTTCATATTTATTTAAAAGAATAGATTTCGTTCGTTTTTCATTATTATCTTATTGTTACTGTTCCATTAGTCTAAAAGTGAAGTGCAATTTATAATTTTTGGTCAATATTTTATTTACAGTCATTTTCTTTTATGGAACACAGTTTTGTATAAAAATGTCCAATATGACAAAGCAATCGGTTACAAATGTTGACTCTGACAATGAAGAGTTTGACTGCGACAAGCGTAGAATACCACCAGAACATTTACCCATGTTCCAACGTCTAGCCTCAGTTAATGGCAAGATTAACCGCATGAAAAAGCGTCAGTTGATAGACACTATGAAAAAGAAAAAACTTAATGTTGATGGAGATATTGAAGTTCTGAGAAAACGTTTAAAGAACCATTATAGGATGCAAGCTCTTATAAAAGCTAAAATTTGTGAAACCGAGACAACTTATTTTCCATATTTTGTTATCATTGATATTGAAGCCACATGCACTGAAAACAACCCTCCTGATTATAAGTATGATATATACAGTAAATTATAAAATATTAATTTTAATAGTTGTTTTTGTAGATTATAGTAGTTTTTATTTGTCTGCAATAAGTAGGTACTTTCCATTAATTTAAATGGAATTTTTTCTCACTGTAAATCATACTGATTGATGGATTGGATATATGATTTTCAATAGGTAGGAATGAATATTATTACATTTTTTCTATTATAATTTATTTTGTTCGATACCTAATAATATTTTTATCGTGGTTTTTATATTAATTTTGTTGTGAATACTATTCAAATTTTAAGTAAACAAATAATTTTGTATTTTATTTCCTGAAAAATCAATTTAAGGCCACCCTCAAGTAATTTTACTTAGTACTAAAAATTCAGAAGATTCAACTCTGCCAATAATTTGTTATTGAGATTATAAATTACCTATTAATCATTTCCTATGCTTAAGTTAATCAATGTTCATCTAAAATGTTTTCAAATAAAATAATTTTTCATGTGAAATCAGTTAGGTACCTGTCATTGCTATTATTATTTATTTTTTTATTTACTTATTTCCTAACTTACAAAAATCTACATTTTTAAAATGTAAATTTATTAAAAATATTCTATTTAACTAATAAACATTTAAAATTCTAAAATATATTTGATTATATAAAAATACTATTAAAAATTTTGAATTTTATTCAATAGTAAGTTTTATACTTATTTATATTTCTTAGGTTTGAAATTATTGAGTTTCCTGCTGTTTTAGTGGATGCTAAAAAACGAAAAATAGTCGATCATTTTCAAGTTTTTGTAAAGCCTACAATCAATCCAAAACTGTCTGAGTTTTGTATAAAATTAACTGGTATTACCCAAGTAAGTGTATTGCTATTGTATCTAATTATTAACAAACTTATTACTTAAAATATATAGTTTGTAATTCCTTTAAATCATTGTGTTTCATTGTTATTATTAAGTTTTACCAAGATATTTCTGGAGACAATTAATTAGTTAGTGGTTTTATTTAATAGGATCAAATTGATAAAGCTGATCCATTTCACATATGTTTAAAAAGATTTACAGAATGGTTAGAAAAACATGAGCTTGGAACTAAACATCGATTTTCTATTGTGACTGATGGTCCTTTTGATATGGCCCGATTTCTTTATGGACAGTGTATTGTAAGATTCTTTATTTATTTAAAATGATTGCATGTTATTAATTAAATATTTAAAAATAAAATATAATTATTCATTATTATTAACAGTTTAATGATTATACAATTTTTTTTTGATTAGTACTAAAATAATAAAATATTATAGATGTCAGGAATTCCATATCCAAACTTTGCTACAAAATGGATTAATATCAGAAAAATATTTCGATCATTTTACTTCACAAAACAAGTAAAGGTATAAGCATTATTTAACTGTGTTATGGTTTTTAACTATTTTTAATTTTGTATCTATATATATATATATATATATATAAATATATTTTTTTATATTTTAATAAACTTTTTAGCATTCAGTCTTATGCAATCTTAACGCAATGTTAACATTTTTGGGTATGGAATTTGAAGGCAACCCTCACAGTGGCTTAGATGATTCATTCAATATATCCAGAATATGTTTACGATTACTTGAAGATGGAGCATTTGTTGATCAAAATGAAAGAATTATTTCTCTGAAAAATCCTACTCCATTTGGAAAAGATGTAATTATTTATTTATGTATATAATGTTCCACGAGGAGTTACTTATTTAAAGTAATTAGGGTGATGGATTGCTCTCTTTACCTTAATATATATCACATGGAATATTGTATGTAAATACTATATAATATATAATAATCATTAACACAATTTTGAATTCTACTATAGGATCCTTTGCCAGTAAGACCTGTACATAATATATTTTGTGATGGAATGCACAATCATATTAAAAGCTGGCGATTAGATTCTCGATTGAAGAATTTGCAATTAAATGATGATACTTAACAGTGGTTAAAGTTAGTAAAATTGAACATTTTACATACCATGTTCCTTTTCAACGTCCAATATATTATCCTTTCATTAAAATGTCTAATCCATTTTATTTTATTTTCTTGTTATACTAGTTATAATTAAAATGACTGAGTCATTTCTTTGTGATTATTAGAGAATAATTTAACAAAAATTTGTAATATATACTATATTAATTGTTATATTAAATTGTTTCATGTATTTAATAATTTAATTTGTGATAATAATTTTTAGCGTTTTATCTAATTTTTGCTCTATCGTAGTTTTGTACAGTGATAAAATTTTATTTGTATTGATTTTATTGATTATTTTCATCAATATTTAATTAAATTTATTAAATTTTTTAGCATCAACAATTTGTTTAATATAATTTATGAACTATCTATTTATTTGATTGTGATAGTTTACAAGACATTTTAATTTATTATTACATATTTAAGTTTGGACTATGGATACAGTTTTATATGACACGGCTAATTTGTTATTTTTATGATCAATAATTACTGACAAGTGATTATATAATCAGCTTAAGGCTAAATTATTTTCTTAACACTATTTTTATAAGGTTATTACCTAAATATAATTATTTAATATAGTAAAAAAATATATATAAATGTATAATTTTTAATTAAATTTTATGTAAAAAATATAATAAATATTACTATATTTAATTGATAATTTAGTGGATTATAATAAGTATAAGATTATGAAATATATATTAGAAGAGTTAATCAGGTTTTTGTAATACATAATTGTTAAAACAATTTATTATAAAAAGTAGGTAATTTTAGTAAATTAATTATTAGCTTTTGAATTTAATTATTTAAGTTCTAGTTATACCTATTTAATAAGCAGGTTTATGTTTTTTACAATAGTTATAAAGTTTAGTAGAGATAAAAGAATAGTCATTAATCAATGAAAATTAAAAATTCCTTAGGGAAAATCTAAACATATCTGACGAATCAAACAAATGTAGAACTGTTGACAACCCTATATCGGTTCTTAATCCATTTGATTAAAACATAGTTGCAGTTACCAAAATGTTGAGATTCACAACAAATTTATAGAATGATCAGTTGATAAAATATTAAAACTATTATTTTCATCTCAAGATTTAAATATGTTTAGGCTCACTCGACAAATTGAATGCTAAAGTCTAGTAAGTAATAGAAACATTAAAAACATTGGTTTCATTTACCACTTATCTGTGCAAAAAAAAACTTACAGTGACATTAAAAACTAAATACAAAAATTGTTTGTTGTCTTTAAGAAACAATTTATTTCTGTACTTCTAATATCAAAGCACGATTAAACAGACTTTTGAATATTAAAAAATCCCAAATCGTATTAATTTATAGTTCTTAACTTTATTATTTGTAGTTTATTGTATATTTTTTAATTTTTTTATTTATTAGATTTTAGTTTATACAATAAACATTTAAATTTTTATTATTATGATTATATATTAATTTTTTATTTATTTAGAAAATTAACAATCTATGCTATTACTTAATAAGATAATATGATAAAATAATTTACAAATGTATGAAAAATATCAGAGGAAGGCTAATTAGTGATGAAACCCTTTGTGGAAGTTTATACATTATACACTTAACATATATTATTTACATTTTTATGGACATACATAAATGTAGGTCCTTATGAGTATTATTATTTGAGGGACCAGTGGTGTGGCGAACTTAAAAATTTTCAGAGGCAAGTATATTTTGTTGATATGCACCCACCCCCCAAAAAACTGAGAGGCCGCCTCTTGATTACCCACATCTCTAACATCTCTATGCCATTTGTTGGACTAACATTGATTGTGGGACACACACTGCTGGACTGTGCAAGCATATTGGAGCGTGTGTGGTCTCCAGCCATCCGGCCAAAATGGTAAATTTTTAATACACCCTAGAGCTTGTGGAAATATAATAGTGAAAAATGTAAAATCTTCATAACTTCTTCCTGTAGCTAAAAATCTTAGCGTTATTGTCAACTTTTCGTGGGGTGAGATTAATTTCTTCAAAACTGTATTTTCTTTTTTTTTTAATGAATGGTGACAGTGATGAAAGAAGTTGGAAGTATGTTTCTATGTTTTTTTGTCCATTTGCAAGTAATTATACTGATTTCCTTTGGAAATAACTTATATTCGGTACACAGATTAATGTGAGAATATTTGTTCCTTTTTTGTATTCAATCTTAACACCACAGTCTACGTTTAAGTTTTTAAAATTGTATTCTTACTTTTTTATGACTATTAATAAGCATAAAACAGTAAGTGCTATTCTTCGTTGTCTTTTATGTTAGCCATGCCTATCAAAACTTGTGACTGAAGTGACGCCCGGATAGATTCACCGAAACGTGTGGGGATACTGCAGGCCAGCTAATCGGTCTCCAGCGGCCTGCACAAGCATAACTAACCGGAACGTGTTAGCTTAATGTGTTCACATGACAATAGTATTCGGTAGTACTATCACGATAACGACCATCATGAGAGTAACTACCATCGTTTGGACCAGACTTAAATTTTAGTGTAGGATGGAGCAGGTGAAGACGATTTACGTAACGTAAATGGCACATGGACCGATTTTTCTGTATTTAATTTAATTTTCGATTTAGATGCCAAAAGGTCGATTTCATTTAGGTGATTTTGTAGTGCATTATCAACTACATTTAGATCACCGCCAGATACTAGTATTGCCGTGTCTACCTATGGGGATAACAAAGTAAAATTCGAATTAGGGATATCAAAAGTGAAAATATAAAATATATTGGGCGAGGTATTGCTTCCTTGTGGAACACCTGCGGTTATAGAATATTGGGAAGAATGTGAATCACAATGTCAAATTTGAAAAGTACGATTTTATAAATAGGAACGAATAATTAAGAAATATGGTACAGGTAGAAATTACTTTTATTTAAAAAGGAGTCAAACTCGATCGACTGCTTCTGCCACATCCAGAAATACTTTTTATTATTCTTAATGTAAATAAAAACTTGTTTTTCTTCTAATGAATAAATAAATTAATACATTTTTAAATCAGAGTTTAAATATTTCTAACCGATGCGACCTCTTATCTAGGGGTAAATTTAGGGGAGGCTGACGTGGTAATCGCTCTCTCCTCTTGGGATTTTTTTTTATCATAAATGTGTTTAATATTTTTTAATTTAGGTATAAATTACATAGATTTAATTATCGACTCATTATCGAATAGTGTTATGGCGTCATTTTTTTGTACTTTTTTTTACTAATTCGTGTAGCTATACTAAAAGTGTACGTTGGCAACCATGTTAATTACCGGCATCGTGGCCGTTCCATGATACACGTTATCGGTGTAATTGTCAGTGTCTGTCGCCAAACTAAAATCTGAATTTAAGCGTCGAGCAAATCTACTGCTCTACGGAATCATAAAACTCATCGAATATTTGGTTTACAATGTTTTGATATTTAATTTAATATTATTCATAATTTTTCAATTATCGTGTACACTTTTATGTTTATTTAATTAAATTATTATAAGTAATAATAATAATAAAAAAAAAAAAAATGTTATTGAAATATTACTTGTGTTCAATTGTTACATTATGCCTTATAGCTTTCGTCAGTGCGTCTAAAGAGACGTTGGTGTTGCTCAACAATTTAGTCATCAAAGAAACACATTCTATCTTATTTAACACTCTTAAAGGTATTTTATTATGTTTCTTAATATGATGGGTTGATAATATTGTTTTTCGGTCTTGTTCATTAATAGCGATCAGTAACACTAAAAACCTCTGTGTTGTATAGAGTTAGTTGTTTTATGATTTGTAATCATCTTATATATATATATATACCACAATGTTTGTATATTATTTCGTGTCTTTTAAAACTATGTGAATTTCATAGTACAACTTACATTTTTTTTTCATATTTTGTGAGCTATATTTGTAGATTATAATTGATACATATTTCATAAAGAAATGATTTATTACTGTTATGTTCAAATTATTAGAAAGAGGATATCAATTAACTTTTAAATCTGCTGATGACCCTTCACTAGTACTCTCAAAGTATGGAAAGTACTTTTACGAAAATTTAATTATATTCGCACCAACTGTTCAAGAATTTGGTGGATCTTTAAGCGTTGAAACAATTACTCAGTTTATTGATGATGGAGGTAAACTAATTTATAATGTTAATCTCATTTAAACTAGGTAATGTTTAAATATTTTTATTTCTAGGCAATGTTCTATTTACGGGTGGTGTATCTACTGGATCTGCTCTTAGAGAATTAGCAGTTGAATGTGGTTTTGAAATAACCGAAGAAAATTCATCTTTGATTGATCATTTGAATTATGATGCCAGTGATCCTGGAAAAGTAATAGCATTGTTTGATCCATTAAGTTATTCATTATTAAGATTTTTTATTTTTTTTTAAATTATACATAATTCTTGTATAATAATATTTTTTTATACAATTGATCTCTTTATTGGACTTGTTGACTATACCAGTTCAGTTAAATTTTTAAAAAATTTAAATAGCAAAATCTGATTGTTTAGTTCCATATCTAATTTCATCCATTGGTAATTTTCCACTATCTCGATTACCGCGAGTATCAATTCCATTATCCCCATTACCTCCTCAAAGTTCTATCACAAATTTCTCATTTATACAATTAATACAATGTATATTATAGTATAACATTTATTATCACAGAATTGATAATTCTTTATAATATATATAAAACATAAAATCATATTCATTTTTCCTGATGTAAAATTTTATTTTGACCATTTTAACTTTGACATGTGTCTTGGAAGTAAACCCTTTTCTAGAAAAAGTTCAACGGCATCTTTTTCATTATTTGGTAAATTCCAAAGATTCATAATTATAAATACTAAATTATAATTAAAATTATAAATTTGAACATTAGTTAGAGACTACAAATATAGTCGTTTAAGAGTGCTGATGATGAAGATTGATTGATATGTATAGTCTAAATCAGTGGTTCTCAAACTTTTTGATCGCAGAACCCATTTGTTCTCAAAAATTCTTATGAAGCCCTAAAACCAGAAATTTATAATTGTGACAATAATAATTATTAAAATTTCATATTGAGAAAAACACACAATCAAAAATTAAATTTTTTTTTGTTGGAGTTTGGATTTTGTTATTTGCTGTGAGAGCTGTGGTCATTTTATATTGTATTGATAAATTTACTTCATTTAATTTTGTGAAAATACCAGCCAAGTAATTAAGTAAAAATAATCATATTTTATTAGAAATCTGAGTTGTAAATTGAATGGGTGTACTATAATGTACAACTCATGGCAAAATTGAAATAATCATTCCAGTGTTTTTCCTTTATAACTAAAAAATGTAATAATATTTAAATTTAATTAATTTAGATATGCCCACCAAGCCTCTAGACTTCTTTTGCCCTAGGGCTCCGCGGAGCACAGTTTAAGAATTACTGGTTTAGATAATGAAAATAGACCAGAGGTAGTTGCAGCAATGGCCGGTAGTCGGGATAACAGAATAGTACCCATTCATTTTATATTTACATTTATTCTTGTTTTACAATTAAAAGTAAATATTTTGGATTCTTTTTAATTTTTATATTTTAAAAGGAATTCTATAAATTGTAATTGGTTTTAATTGAGTATTTACTCTAACTAACATATTGTACATATTTATCTTTAATTGTTATTTTTTTATAGCATACTTTAGTAGTAACCAGTTCATCAAACCTTATTAAATCTGAAGAAATTGTTGGAAATATTAGTGAAAAACCATTATTGTATGAAGGAACTACAGTTATTACAGATCCAAAGAATCCTTTAGTACTTCCTATTCTTCATGCTGAATCTACTGCATATTCGTACAAACCAGATCTTCCTGTTAAAGATGTAAGTTCTTTAAATTGAATTATTTGTTTATGTGTAAACAAATTGTTATAATTCTCAATCGTTTTTAGTATTCACTTGGTACTGGTAAAGATCTATTACTAATAGCAGCTTTACAAGCAAGAAATAATGCCAGAGTTGTATTTTCTGGATCCTTATATTTCTTTTCAGATGTTGCTTTTAGATCTTCTGTACAAAAAGTTGTAAGTTTTTAACTATAAAATAATATAAAATAAATTTTCTAATATTATATCAAAATATTTACACTTTAAAGGATGGGAAAACATACAGTATTTCTGGTAATCAAGAAGTTGCTTCAAACATTGTTTTGTGGACATTGAAGGATAGAGGTATGATTAGAGTGAAATCTGTAAATCATCATAAATTGGGCGAATCATCACCTCCATCATCTTATACTATAATGGATATGGCAGTAATATTTCTTTTATATCCCTTTTTTTTTAAATATTGTAATTAAATTAAATTATTTGTAATTTTCCATAGGTGTATTTGGTTGAACTAGAGCGTTGGGAAAATGGAAAATGGATACCACATAATGCTGATGATGTTCAAGTAGAGTTTGTACGCATAGATCCATTCTGGCGAGGAAATCTTAAAAATATTGAAAATGGCAAGTATGAATTCACATTTAGAATCCCTGATACATATGGAGTTTATCAGTTCAAAGTTGAATATAATAGAGTTGGATTTACTGCAATCAGAAGTTCAACTATGGTAAATATATAATAAAATATATTATAAAATTATATTTTTTAAATATATTTTTATCACTAGGTATCTGTAATTCCATTGGAACATACTCAGTATGAAAGATTCATCTTAAGTGCATATCCCTACTACGCAAGTGCTTTTTCCATGATGTTTGGTGTGTTTGTGTTCAGTTTTGTGTTCTTGCATTATCGAGAAGATAAAGCAAAAGGAGAGTAATTCAGACTGTATTATTTGTTGGTCATGATAATTTTGTAAGTTTAAAATTAAATTTGAGTATTAATGATGTAAATGGATTTTTTACTATAAACAAAGTTTTATGCACTTATAAATTTAATTTTGTAACTATTTGATTAAAATGTCTTATAAATACCATTTATTAATAATGATTTAAGAAAATCTTAAAATGTATTTTTAACATGTACTTTTCAATATTTTGCATTTATTAAAATACTTGAAACAAATATTGTGTACACAAATAATCAGATAATGTTGGCACATATATATACATATGTAATCAAATATTTTATGTTATTAAATAAATTATTAATGTCGTCGTCTGATTAAATGGACTCTTTTTACTTCCGTTGATGAAGAATCATCACTCCTTTCAAATGAATTCTTCCTTGTGTTTCTGAATTGTAAAATGTTGCACTGAGAAAGCTTTCTGGGACGATCTATAATATTCCAAGTTATAATTAGTAATTTGATATTATATTTATCTTTAATTAATAACTTACAAGGCACTTTCAGTAAAGTATCAGCTAGTGATTCTCTTCGAGCATGTCTTGCTAAAGTTAAGTCAGGTAATGTTAGTCGCCTGGACCTAGAATATATGTAAGCTTTTTCTTTTTGAATAAAATGTTTTTTCCATTCATAAAGCTATAATATATTTATATGCTGAATTTTATACACTTATAATTGGTTATTCATAGTTAAAAATAAAATTAATCTTTACCTTTTTTCTCATGTTGTATTGAACCCGCCAAAATAAAATGAATGGCAATAGCGATGATACAGCAATTAACCACCAGTTATTTGTGATCTTAAAACTTATACTCTTCCAGTCAATGCCAAACAAATAATATTTATTATTAGTCTTATCACAATGTGGTACTATAGGTTCGTCTTTCAATATTGGTGGTGTATTGTCATCATGGCATAATTTTTTTCCAAATAATTCATTTACTTTGGATGTTAGTGCCTGAATGTGCTTTTGGAAACAAGTACAACTTACAAACAAGATGCATGAATAAATAAAAACAATTTTCCAAACATTAATTTTCATATTTTATTTATAATAACAATTTTTTATTTTATTTTGATTCACAACAAAAAAACCAATTAACGTATTAATGAATATTATCTCACGTTAATTTGTTAACATATCACAATAACTGAATATTTTTTAAAAACAAACAAGTCTTTATAATCATAATTAACTTCTAGTAACATGTTCTTAAGAAAAACAAAATAATACTGGCTATTGTAAAATTATTGATTTTTATACTTTCGCGCATTACAACCCTTCGGTGCTAATATCGCATTGCACAGTTTAGGAAACTTAAATATTATTAAATGGTGCATGATCAAAAACTTTTTTTTTTTAAAAAAAAAAAAATCAGACCATTCAACCAGGTAAGGTTTAAGTAAATATCGTTAACAATTTTTTTTTTAAAAATCATAGAACTTCACTAAACATTTGTGCTCTGAAATATGAATACAAATATTTGCTAAAGCTTTCTACTATGTAATTTAAAATAATAAGTTGTTGAGAAACAAATGGAAGATATTGTTTATGTATAAAACAAATGAAGTATTAACCCATATTAATTGGGTTTTTCGTAGAGTGCTAAAAATATTTTTATATTTATCTGAATCAATTATGTAATAGTTAAACTTCAAGGCTACTAAAATAATTGTATCAACAACATTTTTAAAATCTGTGGACATTTTATGAATTTATAAATCAAATGTGTGTAGTTTATAATTTGAATTTAAAGTGATAAACTTATTGCTATAAAAATTTTGATTAATTATTTTTCTTTCAAATAATTTGCTTAACAATGAATAAATCTAATAAAAATAATTTAACTTAATGTATTCCAAACAATTAAAATCTTAAATCAAAAATAATTGTACATAGGTACATATTAAATATACTTTACATTCTTGATAGAAAACTTTACAATGACTATTTTATTTTAATAAAATTTATATATGTTAGCATTTTAATAATTAATTATAATTTAAAATATATGACAAAATATAATCAGTATTCATTGGTATAGGCGCGGGCAGACTTCAACTTCCGGTCGAGCCTGGATACAATTAGTGCCCCAATACTTAGACAGTGCTCCTAATTTTTTTCTAACACTTCAATAAAGTAGATTCTGTTGTAAATTAAAAACAATGTAGTATTTATATCTATACATAGAATTAAGTATTATATTGTTGATTTTTAGACATGTATTTTTGAAGTTAAAAAAAAAAAATTAATTCTTTAAAATCAAATTATATAAATACAATTAATTGATTTCCATGAACATATTAAAACATATATAGATAATTTACTATGGTTAGTTTGAATTTTACTATGCCTCCAAAAAAATGCCGGTCAAGCCGGGGCTCGCCCGGTTCGCCCCGTGCGCATACCTATGACTTTAATACACAGACTTCAATACTAACTAGATGAACTACCTACTCACCGAATTTATTACCGAGAATGATGAAATCTGGCGGAAGTGCTCTTATCATACATCCACCACGTTTTCGGTCGGCAAAAAAATATTAAATACTTGCTGGTTACTATTCTTACTATTTCTTCAATAAGTAAAATTTAAATAAATTAAAAGACATATACGTTAAATATAATAAAGAGGAAAAAAAAACAACTACTGTATTTTTCACAACAAAAACATTTTTAACATATTAGTTTAAAATTAAAACATACCTATCACAGTTACCTATCACAAATTATAAAATACAACTAATTTGGTTAATTTATGTCGTTTATTAACAATATTTGAAGTTTTTGCTTTAGCAACACGATGTAGTTGTATTTATAAATATTATTACAGATTACTATTGCCTATTACTAAACATAATCTATGATTTTGTCAAATGAATTATTGGAAAACGTCATATTTTATAGAATATTGAAATTATAACAATCATTCTTGACTGAGATAATTTTTTTTACAAATAAACCAGATATAATAGAAGTAAAATAGCAGGTCAGTTTGATTAACAAATTCTCAATGTATTTAAGTTATTTAAAAACACTATTAGAACTTTTTAATAATCCTCCTCTATTTTTTTACATCAATTAATATGAAATAAAAATATTTATGACTATAGTTTAGTTCACTTTATGTAATAAAGAAAATTATCTTTCAGTAGCGTAGCCAGGATTTTAAAATAAAGGAGGCCAAACCCAAAATACTAAAAAAACATAATCAGCAATTTGTTAATATAATATTAAATAATATAATATAATATAACATAATATAATATTATGTTATTAATACAACATAATCAATAAGTTTGTTAATCTAGTAATTTTTATATTAAGTTTATCGTATTTAATATATTTTATTTCATTATAATTACATTTCAATTTATTAGTTTAATTATTTTGACTAATCTAACAATAAAAGACGTTGATGAGATTTTGAAAAAAAAAAATGTTTTCATTATTTATTTCTACCAAAAATCAAAACAAATAATTGGTTGTAGTTAACGCAAGCTTCTATTTTTGTTCATATCAGTTTTATTTTGAATTGAGGCTCCCAAATCACGAAGGCCTCGGTGCGTCGCACCTACTGTACCTACTGCACCACTGCTACGCCGCTATGTAACACCATTATTGATTAATAATTTAATGATAAAACAATAAGTGTTAGTATACAACTTACCAAGTCAATAATAATATTATCGATTTTATTGTTGATTTCTACAACATAATCCTTGTGGCCTTTAATCAAAATTTTACTAGAATTGGAATTAACTTGTGAAAATGTAACAGTAACTCCATTATGTTTCTCACTTGTTTGGTTTATTACTTCAGCGTGGGGGGCAGTAAAATGATGATGATATTTTGAAGGAACGTTCATAGTGACTTCAATTATGTTTTTTTATAACATTTTAATGTATTACGAGATTATAATTATTATTATTATTGTATTATGATTCTTGTATATCTATTATTTAAATAAATTAAAAGATAATTAATGTTCAATTATTTTTTATGTAATAACTGTTAGTCATAGGTTACTTTTTATGAATTTAATAATTCCAAATAACTATAAACAGAAATATTTGTATGGTTAATACTAACCAAGTCTTTAACAATTTCTTCAATCTTACGTTTCGCCTCTTCAACATTTATTTTATCACTTTTTATGATGACAGCACTATTACTAAAAGCTATTTTCGGAAATGTTATAGACACTCCATTGCAGTCATTAATAATTCGATTAATAATTTCATCACGTCTTGCAACAAAGTACTTATGATACTTTGAATCAACATTTACTACAGATCGAAAAATATTTTCCTAAATCAAAATTGTTAATGATTATATGGTTCACTTATTTAGTTGTATTTCGGTATATCAATGATTATTTTATTTGTTTTATCTTTAGTTAGTTATTTCATTTTATATAACTTATATATCAATAGTTCATTATTGTAAAGAAAACTATGAACAATTATGTAAATATAACCTCAATACAATTTCAATAAAAAATAGATAGGTTAGTTAAATACACGTGCATTTGTATTGAATTATACCTACCAAAACTTTAGCATGGTCTAAAAGTCCATGTTTAGCAAGAGCAACATCTGTTTTGCTATCACTGATCACAAATCTATCTTCAGCACCAAGTTTAGGAAATTCAATTTTAATATTGCTACATTCTTTTTCCAATTTGTGTAAATATTCTTTTTGATTGACCACTAAAGTGCCATGATATTTTTCATTGATATCTACATGTTCTTCGATGACATTACCAATATCGGTTATCATAACTTCAAATTTTTCTTTTGCTTTATTGACATTCTCTTTTTTACCAACAATAGTTATATTTTCATTAGTGGAATTAGTTTCAAACGGGAAAATTATTCTTGTGTTCGTTAAATATCTGATCTGGAATCCAAGTATTAGACCATAAATGAAAACATTGTACCCTTATACTAAATTATTTTAACAACATACCTTTTTAACATTAATTCCAATTATTCCAATTAAATATTTGTGAAACTTCGAATTTACTTTCAATTCAAACACATATTTATGAATTTCATCAACTATTGACTAAATTTGTGTAATATCTAACATTTTTAACATCATCTTCAGGTCCTTTGATAACTATAGTCTACGAATTAAATTTTAGCTTTAAAAAAACTGTTTACTATTTTTTTAATAAATTTTAGCATTTGGGAAATTTTCTTGAAAATTTCCTTATTGTAATACGGGAGGGAAGCAGTTTCTTCTCTTTAGACAATCGTCCCTTGCTCAAAGAAACTTCCAGATGCCAGGTTCGAATCGATGTCTGAGCATATATCACACATATAATAACTTATACAATTGGTTAAATTGTCATTTTAATTTATAATTATAATAAATAAGTATATTCTTACATTATCTCCTTTAACAGTTGGTAAATTCAATGTCACATTATCATCAAAATCTTCTTTTATAGATTGAATGAATTTATTCCCAAGATTTACAATGACATTTCTAACTTTAACATTTCCCAACACCATTTCCTTTGTTATTATGTCTCCCTAAAAATACATGTTTGATAAATTAATAATAAAATTGAAAAATAAATAATCTTTGTAAAAAACCAACTATTTCATTTTCTACCTCTTTTTCTACCTAATTCAGCTAATGACTTAAATGCTTTATTTACATCATCGTTCAAACCTCGTATTTTACCTAAATTATTTCTAGCCTCAACTAAAATATCGAACCAAATATTATTTATTAACGGACAAATTACAAAAAAACAAACATATTAATACTATTAATACTATTAATTACCTGGACTGGGGAATATAATTTGAACATGAAATATTTTCTGAAGTTCTCGAAATTTTTCACCCTTAACTCCAATTATCGCTCCATGGTGACGTTGATCAATTGTTATTTATTTTTCAACTTAAATATAATTTTCTCCAATTCCTAACAAAAATTTTAATTATTACAAAATTACGAAAGAAACTATTTGATGGAAATTTGTTAAAATACCCGATTTCGTTAATATATAATACTTGTACATTTTTTTTCTAAAAAAAAAAAAAACATCAGAAATCTTTTAAAAACTTTTAAACCTATAATATTAAAACTAAAGGTTCATTGAATTTGTATCGAGTTATAACAAAATTCAACATTAAAGTCCTCATTAATTTTTTTTTACTATAAAAGTATAATAAAAATTATCGACATTTTAATTTAGAAATCATGAAATTTTCAAATATTTATTAAAAAATTTAATTTTAATTTAATTAATAAAATAAATAAACTAGTACGGTCACAATTAACCACTTTAAAAATAGACATTATCTGTTTTGTCAATTTTTTTTCAACCTTTTCATTCCAGCCATTCTTTTTGAAAATGAATTTACTTAAATGTGTTAAACTTAAATTCCAATTCATTAAAAAATATTCTTGATACATACTTGAACTAATTTTTTCGTGGAATCCTTTGTTCCAGTAATATAAATTATGTCAGATGAATTTTTCATACACGGTATTTGAACATGTGTTCCTGTACGTTTTTCAATACTTTTAAGATTAAGTCCTTGTTTGCCCAATAATTTACTTCGATGTTCTTTTGGAAACTGTGTAGTAGTAGTTTTAATCTGAAATTTTAAATTTTAGTTAAAATTGCAAAAAAAAAAAATTATTTTTTTATTTATTTATCCATAAAAAAACTATAAAATAACAAATGATTTATCAAACATTTTACTTTATTATGCACATTTATGTATTATAATATTAAATAATAATAATAATAATAAATAATTCATAATTTGTGCACAACAATATAATATATATATATATATATATATTTCTAATAAATATTATTTTTATCAGTTTATCTTATTAATTCCAACTTAATTAAAACTTATTTACTTGTGTTTGGTCGCTTGCGATAATCTTTTGTTTTGCTCTTCAATATTAACTCTATTACCGCTGACTAGTAATGTCAGGTCCATGATTTTTGAAGTAAAAATCTCCATTCCTACATTATATTCAATCCCAATTTTTTTATATACTTCTTTACATTTTTCTTGCTCTAATTGATTATTCCTGTCCCAATTTTTTTTCTTGGGCAGGTATGTAATTATCTACAAATTTTACAAAATAAAATTAAGATATTATTTTATATATATTCTAGATATAAATCAACAAATATTTTCTAATCTATTACTATTTATACAGAAAAATGTTATTTAAAATCATAATAATGATGTTCTATAATATGTAAATTATCATTCTATAATTTTTATGTTATTTTTATTTTTTATTTAACTTTTAACACAGTTATTATAGCTTAACAATTAAATCATGTGAGTAATATAACTAAGTATCTATGCATTTTAACATTAATATACAATAATCATTATCATAAAATAATATTAGTAAAATATAATAATTTGAGATAATTATAAATTAAGAGTTGATTTTGATTGACCAATTAAAATTTACAAGTAATTTACAAGATAACATATCAAGTGGTTAAAGACGTAATCATTTAAATGAATAAGGTAGAAAAGAATTTGGGTTTAGGAGTAAGGTGATTGCGTAGAAGAGCTGTAATAATAAAAGAAGGGAAAATATTAGATTTATTAATGCCACAAGATCTGAGATATATTGGGAAAACGGTATATCGTTCATAGGGCTATTAGGTAATAAGATATTATTAGAACCAGTGATGGAGGCGCAAGAAGCTTTGGAAAGAGATTTGATAAGAGGAGACGTGAGTACAATATTTTTATTTTGACGATAACAAGTGGATTGTTTTGCGACGTTTAAAAAGTAATTTATGTTTAGGACAACCTTTATAGTTGGAAGTATGATCACCCGTGCAAAAGCTGCACTTGGTTGAACTGCCTTTCTCTTTGATGTAACGGTTTGAGGAGTGATTTCCCCACATTTAACACAGCGTGAAGGATGAAGGCTCATCATCATTTCGGTATGGTAATGTAATAGTTAACATTGTGACCGTAGCCATGTTATTTTAGACACTTAGGTGAATCACTATTAGTCTTATTGGGTAATTCAACTTAAATTTTTTTGTACAACATTGATGATTCATTAAGAATTTTTTTATAATTTGTATTTGGATTAATTTCAATGATGAACAACGGAAGCGTATGGCCATTTTAAATGACATTAGTAATTCTTTTGCGGGAATCTAATTCCAATAGGGTATCTGATATATATAGTGACCGGATGTTTTTATATTGATGGTAAACAATAGATTCTTTAGTTATATTATGAACGTCACAAGAGGTGTCGAGTTTGATTTCTTTGTCCACTTCGCTTGAAAAGACAGCGAAACGATTAGGCAAAACTAATGGTATAGTGTTTTTCCCCGTATGGATAGGAGAATTAGGCAATGATAGCAACGACCATTTGGGTTTTTTAGTAAGCAAAGAGGGTATGTTGTCCATCTTGAAAGTGAAGTCGCATAAATATAATACCGTGAACTGAACTAACTTAACTTAAATAAACTAATAAAGTAACTTAACTAAAATTGCGATACCGGAATGGGAAAATTATAATTGCACTGATATGCAACTGTGTTACAAGTCAATATCAGACTGATCGTTCTAATACTTATTAATTACTATTAAAATGGCATGATAAATTACTTCGTTCACCGTTGAAGATTTAACATTACTCCGTTTTTTAAATGGTACAGTCCGGATTGTGTCCGATGTCTTCGAAACTGGCAAAGCTGGAAATACGAGATTGTAGCTGTTGCCATTATTCTTAGAATCTACTGAACTAAGTTGGCCAGACACCATTGACACATTCTTCATCATTGTAATTATTGCTCTGAACAGGTACTGAATTACTTTCATGAAACAAAATCTAAAAACTCTAAAATCAAAATGCGAATGAATAAAACAATTTAATTCATTCGAATTCAATGTTCAACTAGTATTATGCTTCAGATAGTGATTTGATACGTAATAGAAATCAACTAAATTTTCTTTTATAACTATAAACAAATAACAAAATAAATCACTAATAGTTAAAAATATGGAAAATATAATTTAATATCGATTAATAACAACTAAAAATGCAATTTTTTAAGTCTGTATTATCAAACGATAATCGATAGAAAAAATAAAATGTTCATATAAAAATTAAAAATGTAATTAAATATTAAGAAATTATTAAATACCATAAAAATGCTATCATAAGCACACAGTTTTAGTTTAGAGTCGTAACGAATAATATATTTATTAAAATGTCCAATTCCGTCATTATATAATTTTCTTAATTTTATAAAAATATATTGTGGCTTTCCGATACATTTATTTTTGCTTTATTGCGTTAAAAAATGTTATGAAAGTCTTGTATCTAAATTTCAATTTTTAATTATAACATTTTTTTAAGTTTTTTTAAATAGAAAAATGTAGTGAATTTTTGTGATTTTTATTAATATACAATTAATTATAATAATAATAATAATAATAATTATACAAAAGTCAACATTTAATGTTAAATCATGCTCAATTGTTTTACTCCTATTTATGAGTTGAAATATATGTAAGAAAAACTTTTTATTACGTTTTTAAGACTATTTTTCCAGAATTTACCATAGTTATTTTAACTTTGATGATATTATTACGAAAGCTTGAAATGTTGAAACATAACATGTATTTATAGTTTAAAAAAAGGCTATATCTTTGGAAAATTATATCGGCAATTATTATTTTTTGGGTTACGATAAAACAAAAATGTAATGTTATCGAAATCCTGTATTACATAAATATTGTTGCTTATTTTTTTTATAATTCTTCGATGGGTTTTCGTAATTATTAAAAAAACTGTTGGGAAATTCGTAAATTTACCTCCCCCTTAATGTACTAATTAAGATAACAAAATTTTCATTTTTTCCTATAATTATGATTTCTCTTTCTGGTAGAAATCGTGCACAAAACCATAGTGGTTGCTTATATAAGCGTCCTGCAAGGGTAATATTTTCGCTTGTTAGGTCACCGCCACATTTATATCAACGGGCATGATGTTCACAAGCGATCCACAGAATAAAGCCTTGGCCTAACCAACATTAGAAGCTAAGCGCGACCAAAAATCCAATAAACTCAAAATCCAAATACCCAGTTTGTGGCAATTATTTTGTCTCTTTAAATAGACATTTGGCAAAAGCTTCTCGTCCATGTGCAGTCATCAGAGCTCAAAAACTAATTGATAAAACGCCTGCGACACTCATTATAAACTCAACGATGATAACTAGAGCTCGGATTTTTATCTATCCTATCTAAATGTTGTTATTCTTTAGCATCCCCAGTGTTTGCTTTATTTAATAAATCACTTTTTGTAGGTGCTTTTCCAACTCTATGGAAAACCAGTTTCGTCATACCTGTATTTAAGTCCGGAAACCGTAATTCAATAAGTAACTATCGCCCAATCTCGAAATTAAGTTCATTGCCAAAACTTTTTGAAAAGTTAGTTGAGCCACAGTTATCATCATGGCTCGTAAGTTCATGCATTTGCATATCAATCTTGCAAAGTTGTATTTAATGCTAGATGACATAGAAATCCATTTTAAGATACCACAGTTAAATATGTGAAATCTTATTTTGCATGTTTTTGCATACTTGGTATGTTTTTGTATATTTGGCATATTTATGCATATTTCTATTTTATTAGGCATATTATACATTCTATTAGAATCAATCAAAAATTTAAATGGAAATTATATATAAAATTGAAAATATATATTGTATTATCTTTTCTTTTTTTATCTTCTTGATACTCGTACATTTAACGAATACATTTGTTCCAAAGTTTCAGATTTAAAATAAATTACTGACAAAGACAAAGTAGGTACATTATACGCAGTTCATGAAGTCTCAAGAATAGTTTTAAATAGTATTTAAAATCTATTTTTTTTTTTGTAATTATGGTATGAAGAATAAAATATACTATAAAAAAATGAATAGATAATACATGTTAATTCAAAAATTATTTATGATTTTTTTAAAAAAGCATTTTTTAAGTGCATAATTTTAGATATTTAGTGCATATAAATGCATATTTTTAACTTTTTAAGTCATATTTCAAAGCATTTTTTGCCAATTTTAAGTACATAAATGCATGCTTATTTAGGCATTTTTTAGAGCATGAACTTGCGAACCCTGGTTATCATGTTCATTTATTAACATTTTAATAAATGAGCAACACGGTTTTCGACCACAAAAATCAACTGTTACAAATTTGGTAGTATACCTTAATGTGATCGGAACAGTGAAGAATAGAGGGCAAGTGGATGCAATCTATACGGACCTTAGTAAGGCTTTTGATTAAGTTGATCACGAGGTTATGTTAGAAAAACTAAAAACTTTTGGTGTTAATGATCCTATATTATCATGGATAAGATCTTTCCTTACTAATAGAACCCAGCAAGTTAAAATAATAGATACACTATCGTCTTCTTATAAGGTTAATTCAGGCGTTCCACAAGGGGGACATCTGTCCCCCCTATTATTTTTGTTATTTATGAATGACGTTAAAAGTATATTCCGATATTGTAAATTGTCTCTATTCGCTGATGATTTAAAATTATACCTGGTAATAAATTCACTAGATGATTGTGTTAGATTACAAGAAGAGTTTCATCGTTTCTCTAATTAGTGTAAAGAAAACCACTTGAAAATTAATGTAAATAAATGTGCACAAATTTCATTTACCAGGAAAAATAAACCGATTTTACACAATTATTCATTAGACAGCCATAAAATCAAAATAGTCTCTTCTATTAAAGACTTAGGTATCATACTATCATCTGATCTTACATTTTCTGAACATATATCATATGTTCATAATGAAGCGATGCGCATGTTAGGGTTTATTAGGAGACAATGTTGGGACTTTAATAATATTCATTGTCTCAGAACTTTGTATTGTTCGCTAGTTCGATCAAATATTGAGTATGGCTCCATATTATGGAATCCATCGCAATCTGGTCACATAAATAGTTTAAATAAAATACAATCCAACTTTTTAAGATATTTGTCAAATAAATTTGCTATTCATTGTACAATTGATGAACTTGCGTCAAATTTAGGTTTAAACACCCTGTCTTCCAAAAGAAAATTTATTGATATCTCTTTTATTTACAAAATATTAAATGATCAAATTAAATGTCCTGAAATTTTGGTGGGAAATAGGTTGGTTGGTCCCTACTTTTTACTCAAGATCTAAATTAACTTTCAATGAGCCATTCTACTCACAACTATATTGTTTTAATGGACCTATATGTCGTATGCTTCGAAGCTGTAATGAATTTAATTTCGATTTTAATTTTGATGAAGAATCTAAACTTCGGCTTTTATGTCTAAGTTTTAAATAGTAAATCACCAAATTGTATTATGTATAACTCCAATATAAATAAGTAATTGTAAATTTTTAAAATTATATATAATTGTTTGTTTTTAGAATACACATAACATAGAAATAAGTAATTAAAATTAAATACTACTATTAGATATTATTATTTATTATTTATTATTATCATCATTATCATTATAACTTATATTTATAATTTTTGTAAAACATGCTAAAACTCAATTGCTCTACATGGGCATTAATAAACTATTATTATTATTATTATTATTATATTAACAACTATAATAATAATAATAAAAAAACATCGTAATAAACATTCAATGCATATTTTATTGCGGACCAACATTTTTAGTTGCACTGAGCTCATGAATCGGTAAATCAGTGTTTGTCTGTGTCAAGAGACACAGGGTGGGAAATAGGGTCAGTTTGAGTAGCAAATTTTACATTACTTAAAAATAAACATTTTTGATAAACAATTTAAATAATTAATAGAGTAAATAATTTTGCGTTTGCAAAAATTCTGATAAGCTTAATGAAATGAGGCTCAAGTAAGTAAGTTTCACGTAGAACTATAGGATGTCGTAGCAATAATTGTGTATGGTGGAGTCGTGATAGTAAACCTCCATTTAGAGAGGGTTGGTTCTAGGCCTTAGGGTATAGATATAGAATTTTCAGATTTGATTTAAAATACATTTAATTACGAAATTATTTGTTATATAATATACTAATCAGTAGCGATGTTGATTTATACCTAATTTATATACATAGCTTTTAGTATTTTGATCATATAATTATATTTAAATTTTATTTTTTTAGCTTAATAATAATTAATAAGATAACGATTAATATAGTTTATTGTATACTCGTATATATATATTTATTTCATACACTGGTATTTAAAATTTTAGACTTGTATAATAATAAATATTATAATAATCAAATATATGTATACGACTTGAATTGTAAGAGAACAATGTTATTGATTTTACTTCCTTTATTTTATTAATTTTTATCACATCACTCACCAGATGCGTAGCTAGGTATTTCAAAGGGGGGGGGGATGTTATTTAAAATGATACACAACAAAATAATTACTTTACGTATACTTAATTTTACAATCATACTCACACATTAGTACATTACACATGAATATCTATTCATATGTAATGTACTATTGCATGAGAAAGTATTTAAATATTTTATTAAAATTTCAAATTTACATTTTTATCATACCTTTTTAAAATCGTGCATGATGCGACACAAAATCACGGCTTTGATTTATTAGACAAAACGGTGTAATGAGAAGCTGGATCCCGGCTTTACATAATTGTTATGTATGTATTTCGTAATGATAAATATGTTTTCATCACGGTTTATGATGAATTTTTATCTTTATAAGACTTAAGTATAACGCGGTTAAAGGGAGGGGGGTGTTACTTCACCTGTAACACTCCCCCCTGGCTACGCGCCTGTCACTTACTGCATTATTACTATTGCAAATG